ACCTGTTTTATGCAATAGCTGCACAGTTATATATTTTTATGTATTTTATTGTCTTTTGCTACCATGTGTTCAATGGAGTTTTGCCTCTGTCCTTGGAGATAATTGGATTACTTCCCAATTATCTCCAGGATAGAAGACTCTGTGGAACTGGTTTTGGGCAGAAAAGCCATGCTTCATTTGGTCACAAAGGACTTCAATCTATCTTTTGACCCACTGGACCAATTTGTATGATTTTGATGTATGTTTGTATTTGGAGTATATTGATTCTGAAAATGTAAGTTTTATGTGAATGTGATGTATACTTTTAAAGTAAGTTATGAATAATGTGGAAAAACTGTATTTCTCTGCCTGTGATAATTACATTAACCCATTGTGTAAGGTAATTGTATCACAGGCAGAGGGGAGGATTTTGTTTGGGAGTGTCTGAGTGTATGTACGTGTTTATTGGTTGTTTTACAAAACCCTGTGTGTGGTACTAATGTGTAAGAATGTTTATATAAGAAAAATAAACACACAGCTCTATCTATTTCTGCTTGACCCTCAAAACGGAGCATTGTCTCGTTCTTGGGGGGGATTTATTGTATGCTGTTCCAGTTCGACTGCTAGGAGTGTAAACTGATTCGTATGTTTTTTCCTATTCGGCTGTTTACAGCATTCGTATGTTTGAGAGCATTCAAATGCTTCTCCAGTTCGGTGGATTGGTGTCTACAGTAGCTGTGCCTGTGTCTCTGGAAAGGGAAGATTTATTAAATGGCGGTTTAACCCTTTTATGCCTGGGGGTGCCGTTACAATTGGTGGCAAGCGGCGGGATCGTTCCCACAGCCAGAAGGACAGCTACAGGAGACACTATTCCGTGGATTTACAAGTTGGGGGCAACGCATGTCTGGGTACAGTGACCCTGACAGCACCAGGATGGAACCAGCAGTGGAGTACAGATACTCTCTGAGAGAGTATGACCGTATGGTGTGGTTCTGGCTGAGCTTCTTCGGACCCGATCCTCTAGAGTGATACGTGTCATTCGTGAGGAACTCAGTGTTCAGGACACTGCTAGATAGGGCAGAGAAAGAGGGCCAGCCGGCACGTTGGGAGGAACTCCAGCGGCAGGTACAGTTACGGGAAGAGGAGAGCAGAGTCCCCATTCCCCAGCAGCAGAGTGAAGTGCAGGGAATTGGGAACCCAGTCTCCATTCCCAAGCGGCAGGCTGAGTTACAGGGGGCAGAGACAGTTGGTCCTGTCCCCCAGCGGCAGAGTGAATTGCAGGGAATTGGGAGCCCAGTCTCCATTCCCCAGCGGCAGGCTGAGTTACAGGGGGCAGAGACAGTCAGTCCTGTCCCCCAGCAGCAGAGTGACTAACTGGGAGAGGAGAGCTTTGTCCTCCCTCCCCAAAGGCAGAGTGTCCAACAGGGAATAGAGAGCCCAGTCTCCTTTCCCCAGCAGCAGGACACTGTGTTGGGAGCGGAGACAGTCGGTCTCGCTCCCCAGCGGCTGGAAGTATGTATGGGAGAGGAGCTTGTTACCCCCTCTCCCCAGCGGCAGTTTAACGCACCAGGGGGAGACAGTAAGCCCCACAACCGTGCTGATGGGACCGTGGTCTCTGCACTTACAGCACAGGAGGTAGGGAAAGTTGGTCCTGTCCCCCAGCAACAGGGCTGTTTAGCCAAAGGGGAGACAGTTGGTCTCCCCCCACAGCAGCATGGTGCTTTGTCCAAAGGGAAGACGATCGTTCTCCCCCTCCAGCAGCACAGCTATGTATCCAAAGGGGAGACAGTCTGTATCCCCCTCCAGCAACCAGGCTCCCACAAGGCTACTTCTGTGGTAGGGCTGGCACCAGGGCAGAGTACAGCTGGTCTCTGCCCACCTTGCAACCCACCAATTCAGCGTACCAGTCCCCCACACAGCTGTGGTGAGGCACCTGGACATGGACAAGTTTTCCCCGCACTCAGGTGTAGTAACCATTTATTGTGGGTGGGCTGTACTACTAATTGTGTTTTAATTGTATACTGCTAATTGTGTTCCAGTTCGACTGCTAGGAGTGTAAACCGATTCATATGTTTTTTTCCTATTCGGCTGTTTACAGCATTCGTTTGCTTCGCCGGTTCAGTGGATTGGTGTCTACAGTAGCTGTGCCTGTGTCTCTGGAAGGGGAAGATTTACTAAACGGTGGTTTAACCCTTTTATGCCTGGGGGTGCCGTTATATGGTTTAATGATTTGATAATGTGTCTTTTATGGGTTGTTAGTTGGTAATTATTATTCAAAATATCCATACCCAGTGCTTGATAATTTCAGTAATTATCAACAGCAGAGGGAGTGTAGTAAGAGTTTAAAGGAGAATACAATCTTCCAGTTAGTAGTGTTACACTTTCAGTTCAAAGAAGCTGTTACCCGCTAATGATCTGAGTAATGCAAAAAACCTGTGTAGGGGTTCCCTGATCCAGAGTAACATCCCAGCTATCCATGTGTATCCTGTTCGTTTATATCCTATGTATGGTGGTATGGAATTATGCCCAGCAAGCCGACCTTTTACACCCAAGGTCGTCATCTGTCAAGGTTAGACATTAATGAAAGTTGTTTCTCTGCCTGTTACCAACAACTTAATAAATCTTCATATTGGACCAAACTTCTTAACATCCATATTAACTGTCCAACACTTACACAATAGATTCAGTCACTGTCAGTCATATCATCCGGTTCATGAAACCAGTGTAAAATGAGTTAACAGTGCAGCAAACACTCAACAAAACCTTAGGATACATTTGGAAACTAGTAGAAGATAAAATAATTTGATATTATGAGTTGAGCTGTATTTGGACTTTCCTTTTCGTTATTATTAATTCTATGTTTTCCACTTTTTAAAGACAGTTGTGTTCAAGGCAGGATCAAGTCTGGAAGAGGTGGGTATATATAAGTACACAAAAGCTACAAGTACAGCTTCAAGCCTCAGGTGCTCTTTCAGTTATCATTGTAAAGGATAGCTTTATGTCCAGAAATTCTTATTTGTACAGTTATTTTGTAAGCCCTAAAAATTACATTTCATTACCTGCAGAACAGCAGCTTCTTTACTTATTGGTAGCTAATACAGATTAATCCTTTTCTTTTTGCCTAAACTTACATCCTTATAGTGCATGGCATTCTCCAATCAAAATCTTCTCATGAAGAAGCACCAAGGAAAAATTTCCATTTTCCAGTCCAACACTCTCAGATTTGGGTTGTTTTTGAGGTTTAGGGATTCAGATAAAAATCATATTTTAGGGCTGTATTAGTTCATGTTATTTTTAAATATTATTTTTTTTTGTATCCATTAAAAATGTGACAATATAGTGTTTTCAGGCTTAGTCAACCAATGGACGAGATTGACTTGAGATATATTCCACAGAAGCTGTTCAGCAAGTGGCTGCATCACTATCCAATTACAGCAGATGCATATTTTAGCTCCCACCAGACTCAGACATAATTTCACTGAGCATGACAGGAGTTATAACCTTGACAGAACAGCAAAGGCATAGTCCATGAAATTCTTGCACTAAATTTAATGAGACATAATATTTTTTGTTTTGTGTTTATTTTTCCATCTGATATCTGCATGTAGGAAGGGCCCAAGTGTAGCCTGTCCAAGGTGTCTTGGGCCAGCATGCTATGTATACTAATACCAGGCACACAATTTGCACAAAACTGATATTGACAACCAAGAAGAATGTGTTGAAGTTGCATAATTTCCAACTTTATCTCCAAATGAAACAGTTAAAAAAAACTGCAGGGACAAATTATTTTATCTACAACCACTTAAGGAGTGTGTGACATGTCATGATTCCCTTTTATTCCAGAAGTTTGGTCCTTAAGGGGTTAAAAAGATGAAGTGGTTATGGTGTTTTCAATTTATTTATTGCTCCTAGTAACTACAGTGAGTGATAATGCTAAGTGCTGCGTACAGCTCGCTAGCTTCTTAAATGGAGAAGATGCTAACCAGTTGTGGAATGAAATATTTCATGATATGGAAGTTCATTTAAGCAAAGCCCCGCTCAATAAGTCCTACCACAAACTGCTTGTCAGTATGGTCTGCCTATACGAAAGCACTTTGGAATACTTGCACTTTGTAAATTACCTATGGACTTATTAACTAAACAGTCATAAGATCATCTTGTAAACTATATCACTATAGTGTCAGGAACACAGGACTGTTTAAAGTAACACTGTACTGTCAGGTATTCCCGAAACTATAGTGGTAAACTCACTGTTTAAGTAACTGACCCCCTCGCCTCCCTTTGAAAAGGTATTTTACTCCGCTTTTTTCCCATGCCGCACCGATTATGCCGTGGCTGGCCCTGCCTCGTTCCACCGCCATGGCTGGGATCATCAAACTTGATATCAGTCAATCTAATACAAAACGTCTTGCTCAGCCAGTCAGAATGTCATCATAGAGATGCATGGGAAACGTTCAGTGCCTCTATAGCCTGGAAACGCTGAACGTCTGAAGGGACTAGGAAGCAACACTAGTGTCCATCTGAGTGACTGCCACTGAAGGTGTTATTAAGTACCAATGTAGACACTGCATTTTATTTGAAAAGGCAGTGTTTACATTAAAAAAGGCTGTTAGGGGTGGGCGGGGTGGGGTTGGACCTCCGAGCTGGACAGTCGCAAGTGAGACCAGCTACTGCAACCTAAGACCAGATAAGCCTAAAAAATAGGATTACTGATGTAAAACCGACCAGCAACGGTGGCCCTCAGAGGGCAGAGGGCTCTGGATCCAGGGTGAGGCTGGCTCAAAGGGTTTCAGTCCCCTGGAGGAACATTCCTCACTGACATTTTCAAGGCCTACTCCAGCTCAACCATATGTCAGCCCGCGGGGAACCGGATCCGTACCTCCCCTCCCCTTTGGATCGGGGGGGTGTTCCCGGTCCCCACCCTCGGGACTGGACCACCGCAAAGCAATTCAGGTGCAGAAACAGGGCCGCCAAGACCCGTAATCCAGGCACTAAAATCAAGATGGCAGAGGCCACGCGAGATGGCGCCGAAACCAGAGCCTCTACAAGCTACACACCCGCACCAGCAGAAACCAGGTCGGACAGTTGACAACAACAGCACATATCCTAACTGTAGCCATCCGCCTGCACTCTTGGACCTCAACAAACTACCCACCTCCACCACGACTGAACTCACAGAGGCCTCCCGCGGGGTCCTGGTGCTTCCTTCATCCTCCGGGCAGGGACACAAGACGACCCACAGATACATTGGTTGCCCACAACCACTAATACACCACGAGGGGAGGCAGAAGAACACTTACCTATACCCCTGCTGTGGTGGAGATCCCCTCAGGCGGTAAGCACGCGGCAGAGACCTCGCCCAGCATCCAGCAACTGGCAGCAAACCGGGCACCCTGGCACAACAAATATGAAGGGGTGGCTGAAGGGGCTATCTTTCACTCATTTTCAGAAGGACATTCTATTGCCGAGACTGTTTTGCCTCCAGCTATCTCACCCTCTGGAACTCTGTGCCAATATCGATTGGGAGAACGGCTCCCTGGTGGTATACTTTATCCCTAAACTGGCTTATAAATCGTTCTATAATCCTGAGCACTCACCCTGTCAGTTTAATTAGCCAGTAGAGACCGAGAAGAACCTTAATATAAGCACAACACCAATCACTGAGAGCAAAACTTTCCTTCTACTTACCTTAATACCCTCCTTCTCCCCCCCCTCCTCCTCACTGACTCCCTAGGCCCCCGCGCAGGTAGCCCCTTATTAGGACGAACCGATAGATAGTGACCATTGATGACTGGGACAACATACCATCCACAGGATGGGAGAGACACATACCGACATCACAAAGATAAATGCAATGGGGCACCAACCTCACACAGACACTGTTACTGAATCATTGGCTTTGTTTGATGTTAAACAGTAACTGCAACTGACCACTGACTAGTAACCGTCGGACAACTGATAACCCAACAACAATGGAGACCTGCGTGTCTCACAAGTTACCTAACTGTTTAAGGAACCTGCGAGTTCCATGGTTTTACGCTTCATTGACACAGACCAGCGAGTCGTGTATTCCACGGTTCTATGTCATGCTTGTTTAAAAAGATAAATAAAAAATAACGGTATGAGGGGAAAACCCCATGCCAAAATAAACAGATATTTACAAAAAAAAAATATGTGCATGTTCATGCAATTCCCCAAATGTAAAGATTGATAAGTAGCCGGAGGATTGCCTTTGGGGTACCTCTGGCTTGTCTGTAATCACCCTTTGCAATGCAAAAATAAAAAAAAATAAAAAATAAAAAATAAATAAACTTACCTCCATTCCACCGCGAGCTCCCCCCCCAAAAAAAAATATATATTTTTTTTAAAAGGCTGTTAGGGGCATGCTATAGACACCAGAATGACTACATTTAGCTATAGTTGCTCTATGGCTGTACTGTCCCTTTAAAAAATTAAAGTGGTACTGTAACTTTCCAGTTTTTTTCTTATTCTGTTTACTTATTCTATATATTTAGCATAAATGTTTTATTAGGGGGATTAGACTGACTCACAAAAGGTTACTCTAACAAAAAACAGTGCTTAAATGGACCCTATAGTCACCAGAATAACTACAGCTTAATGTAGTTGTTCTGCTGAGTATTGTCAGTCCATGCAGACGCGGTGAGCCCTGCGCGGCAATGTAAAAAGGTGAGTAAATCACCTTTCTCTCTACTTGTAAGGGGAGATGACCACCGAAATGGGGGTTTTAGAACTATAGTGTCAGGAATACACGTTTGTGTTCCAGAAACTATAGTGCCCCTTTAAGGAAAACACTGTTTTTTGGTTGGAGTCATTCTTTAAAAAAGAATTTTCTCGGTAACCATGACAGATAAATGGATATATTTGTGATGTATCTACCAGGACTATTCACCAAAGTGAGTATTACCAGGAATTCAAAGTGAATATAATATTTTAAGCCAAAATAACTTAAGTTAAAAAACATTCTCTAAGTCAATTCTATTTTCAGTTTGGTTATTTTGTCCTTAAGTTTAAAATGCAATTTGAATTCCTGACAATATTCACTTAAATGGATATTCCAGTCCCATAAAGCACTGTAGCTTGCTGAAGTGCTTTATGTGTGAAGAGTGATTCTTTTTTTTCATACCAAGAGAAAATGGCACTTTTATAAATTATACTGTTTACACCACTTGGCTTTCAATCAGACAACCGGTCCTGTTACTTCCTGGTTTGGTTAGCTTAGTGTAGGTATTGCTCAGAGCACCAGCCTTGCAAAGATTGAGCTGCATTGGGAAGTCTATGATTAGCCAGCCACAGAAAGTCTGGGCGGGGTTAGAATATGGGTGGGACCAGTCTGATATGCTTCAGATATGTTCTCTCTGTATTGGCACAAGTGAGCAAAAATTATTTTGAGACCTGAGCAGGGATTTACCAAAGGGCAAGCTACTGAGTTTCCCTAAACTTTTGTCCATTCTAAGAGTTCTTATATTCTTTGTTTTTGATTCTCAATGCATTATCTTGGCTCTCCCCAAGTTAAAAGGGTAATTCAGACATGGACCCTATGTTCACTTTGCCTAGAGGGGTATTAGCTACGCCTCACTAACAAGGCCCAAAGAAGGCTGAAACAATCGTCTGGGGTTGCTGTATCTCTCGTGCCGAGGGAGCTTGCTGGCATTTTCGTTCTGGACTGCCCATACAGGTGGCATCAGTCTGATATGCTTCAAATATTATTTTTACCTTTTTATTGTGATGACAAAAAAAAAGTTTTTGGTTTTATGCTTTGTTTTTATTTTGTTGTTGCTCTTAAAAATCTACAAAGTTAAACAATGCCCGGTCTAGCAATTTATAGAAAATGTTTGGTTCACTTGTCTTCAATGTGTAAGAGCTTTATCTGTTTGCAACATATATCAACATCCATAGCACTAAGCAGACATTAGTCATAAAACAGAACAAAACCTCATTGCAATTGCTGTGCTACCAAATTGCTATTTTTTTTTTCTATTCAGGTCCATTTGGCGTGAGCTCTTTAATGGTGTAGCTACATCATGGCACCTTTTTTAACTTGATCTCTTGGATCTGCAATGCTAAACAGGAAATATCCTTCCTAACGTTCTTATGCATTTGCTAAAGACATCAACATAGAGTTTTTCACCTGGCTAAGAGAAATACATAAATGTTTGGTTTGCATTTATGCATGATTACTTATACACTGAGGATACATTTATGGCCATTGCAATCTAAAGAAATTATTTCAGGCATATTTAAATTACACCCAGAGTGGAATAAATGAGGTCACCTGGTGCCCACATTAAAAAATGTTCTTTACTGCTGCGAACTTATAAAGAAAACCTTAGACTCTTTTGAAGGTGCATGTGTTTAAGAATGAAATGTGCAAGGCAGTTCCCCTCATTATATTGGCATGTGCATCATATGTTTTCTCCATACATCTATGATTCTTTTTCTTCTGGAAGTGATCACTGGCTGAAGAATGGAGTTAGTCGAAATAACTGTTTCTCACTTGATCAATATTAAATGGGTGGGATGTAATGATCATACTCTTATAACTTTGTTATGTTTCTTTTTGTGATATTAATATGTGTGTGTCTCTGTGTGATTTTTTTCTTTTTTTTTCCTTCACCATTTCAAATGTACTAAATGAATAACAGATCATAGCTTTGTTGATCTGTTCTCGGCCTCTGATGGGAGAAACTAACTATATCACGAGCAAATGTTTCATGCATTTGACAAGTCTCTCTAATAAGTGTTTGGCTTTGACTGAAAATAGACCTACGAATCTTGGGTTGACTCTTCTAAGCACTAAGAGGTTGAGAGGTCGTGATGCGCCACAATGGATGCATAGAAAATACAATTAAATGTAGCTTAATAGGCACTGAATTTAAGAATTTCCAAGCCAGTAAGTGTTAACGATGGCCAAAATCAGAGTATAGGACTTACTGTAATTGTAATGAAGTGCAGTGTAATGTAGACAAAGGGAAGTGGTGTTTGGTGGCCTTCTATAGTACAACACATTTTACTGATAGGGATATTTACACCTTTCAAAAACAAAATACAATGTTTCTGTGAAATAGTTGCATTTTACTTGTTTATAATGATTCCATCTAATCTAAGACTAAGAGATAAAACAAAGTCTTTCTTGAGCTGTGTTGTAGTAAACAACCGAATGCCTTAATCCCTCTGCCTAATTATAGAAACACTCCAGGCAGAATTTTAAAAACATGCATAGGTAGATACATTTGGAATAAAAGTTACTGATTTTTAATTAAAAAAAAATTAGGAGAAGAAAATGTAATACTTCACTCCTATCGCTACCTACCTAACCCCCAGTTATTTGACATAACTTCCTTAACTGTTGTGAAACAGGAAAGAACAATACAACAAGATATGCAAGTGGTGTATTGGGGAAGCCAAACATTCAATAAAAGAGCACAAAGCATAAAGACATGTCAGATTGTGCCGTTTCTCATTGTAAATGCCCTTGATTATGGTCAATGTGCATATTGTAAATGCAGAAAACTCCCACTGATTTAAATAAATCTGATAAGCCGGACTAGTACATGTAATATGATATGTAATTATTTAACCAGAATGGGTACATTTAGATCTAGCTAGTTTTCGGATGTGCTAAGCTGTTGAAGTCAAACACACATAAATATTGTATGTGTCAGATGCATACACAGTACGCATATTAATTCATTTTAGTGAAAACCATTAAGAAAAAAATAATAATTTTACATATAGAGATTGCTGTCCATGAGTACCAAAAAAATGCATAAAATTATATATATAAATATATATTTATATTATTATTATGTGCTTCATTTTTCAATTCTAGAAATAATAGAGGGCCTGCAATGTACTAAAGATTGAGCAGTACACCTTGTCTTGCAATATATCCATCTGGTTCACAAAGAATAGAGTAGTAGACTAAATGGGAGTAGATGCAAAGGTGAATTAAAACTAAAAATGGTCATATACCGCACTGAAATGCATTTGTAAGAAATATACTGGAACATGGAAAGTGACTTGCAAATGTAAACATTATACATTTATGTGTGGCTATTGTATACAGGAAATATTGTTGCCAATTAAAAACCAGCCTTCTATATTTTAATTGAATTTTAGACCCACTGAAATTTGTTTCTCCATTTGGTGACAACCAGCAGAGGAGCAGGGCGGAGAGTATATGCACTGCCGGTAGTGAAAGGTATAGCAAGATCTTTAATGTCTTTCACTTTAGTAATTGAAGCCATGGTACGGGGGTGGGTTGCAAAACATCACATGAAAATGCATGGTAGTGAATTTCCTGGTTAGTGGATA